AGGCTTTTTAACGACCTGTAAAGATTCCAAGAACCCGCGTCTACTCATAAACAAAGTAACATAATAGGACTGGTGCTTATTTATCTCCTTTTAATGTTTAACTGTTTAACTATAAAGTTCCAAAAAGTACATTTTATGTGTTTAAGCTCTGGGTGTGTTAGTGTTGGTCAGCTATTTCCTTTTTGAGCACGCTGGCATGAAGTCTCCTCGTAATTGCGTTTGTGGGTGTTTCTGGTAGCTCTGATAGATTAGAAGTGGGAGCTGTTTTTAAATAAAAATCAGCTTTACAAGATCCAGTGCCATTTTTTTTCCTTTTAAGTAAGAAAATGTTTTAATTTTTAAAGAAAGCCTCTTATGTAAGAGCTCACAAACACTAACGTTCAGATAATTCAGGTGATAGTGAATATATGCTCAACCATTCTTCATTTTACCACATCCAGGTCTGAAGACAAACTGCTACCAAGATACTTAACTGCCAGACTAGACCATGGACTGGAAAACCTTTCAAGCCCTCCTCAGTGGGGTGAACAAATACTCCACGGCCTTTGGGCGTCTTTGGCTGTCAGTGGTGTTTGTGTTCAGGGTGTTGGTGTATGTGGTGGCAGCAGAACGAGTGTGGGGTGACGAGCAGAAGGACTTTGACTGCAACACCAAGCAGCCCGGCTGTGCCAACGTCTGCTATGATCACTTCTTCCCCATCGCCCACATCCGCCTATGGGCCTTGCAGCTCATCTTTGTCACCTGTCCATCATTAATGGTGGTCATGCATGTGGCGTATCGTGACGACCGTGAGCGCAAGTACAAGGCCAAGCATGGTGAGAACACCAAGCTGTACAACAACACGGGCAAGAAACACGGCGGCTTATGGTGGACTTACCTGATCAGCCTCTTTGCTAAGACGGGCATTGAAATCGCCTTCCTCTATATCCTCCACCGAATATACAACAGCTTCTACCTGCCGAGGCTGGTCAAGTGTGAAGTGTCGCCTTGCCCGAACGTTGTGGACTGCTACATCGGTCACCCCACCGAAAAAAAAGTCTTTACATACTTCATGGTTGGAGCTTCAGCCCTCTGCATCGTCCTGAATATCTGTGAGATCTTTTATCTCATCTACAAGCGCATTGTACAGTGTGCAAAAAAGGTTAAAAGACGCAACCGCGCCACGGAAATCCAACATGACGACTTTGAGGACCCCTTTAACAACTACAACCGTGCTGGGTCGAAGCAGGATCTAAAGGAAAAGCCTTCATTCCTCAAATCTTCATACAAGGCTCCTCCAT